ATGCACGAGAATAAAATATAACTTACATAACTTTTAAAGCTCTGCCTGTGTTTTCTGGTTGCTCTAACTAGACCATGAATTGATCTACCTACAATGATAAGTGAAAATAAGTGATCTTGAGGCAATATCATACATACAAATGACTCTTGAGACTCAAAGAGATTCAGACAATAGTAGCGAAATGTTTAATATTTTAAAAAGATCAAGTTGTCTAAATATTTGTTAAACCAGCTGATAGAGATCAATGTCAACTATTCCTATCACTATTCAGAATAAAGAGCTCAGCTCTACAAAATTATTGTTTACAATTAAAAATATTGGTGTTACTGTCAGCGAATCTGTTCCAAATGGAATATTTTTACAAAAATATCAACTTAATTAAGAGAAACTCACCAATTATCGAGATGTTGAAAGACATGTATTTCAATAATTAAACTGACAACATTCAATATCTGAAATAGAAAATGAATGTAAAATTTACTAAATTAAAAAGAAAATAAAGGGATATTTCACCACCAAACAATTATAGAACTGCATCCTTTTCAGTATGTATATAGATATAATATGAAATGGGGTTTTAAGTCGTACTTTTCTGTACCTGATTGGGTTAATGAAGACAGTATGCAGTGTACAATGTGGGCAATTTTTGACGATTGAAGCATTAGCTTCCTCATTGTTAATTTCCTCAATAAGCAAGCACAACCTGTGGCACAAGGGACATCCCTTAAGGTGGCACGAATAAAGAAAGGGTCAATTATCAATCTTGGAGGGCAAGGTAGTTTGTTGACTAATAAAGAAGACTCACCATTTAACAGCTCACTGGAACATAATTTGATATCTATAGACCAACAAGTTTCTAACTGATGAGAAGATTTCATACCTGTAATAAATCATTTATTCAAATTACAGTGGTGTAACCTATTTTCGTGGATATAAGGATTCAACACCAAATTTCGTCAAAGTTAAAAAAACGAAATTTTTTTTATATATCTTAGATGTTTCCTCAGATATTCTACAAAATAATTAAAATTGGTTTATTTCTATTTTCTTTATGAATCCTTCCTTCCCTTTGACCCATATTTCATGAGCAACCAACTCGGCAACGGCGGCAGAATGCGTAACCTATTTTCGTTTACAATGTTTGATCTATAAATAAGTCTAGAAAAACACGTTGTATGGATACCGGGTGGTATAATTAACTTCTCTTAGTATTTATCTTTAATATCAATTCATTATAACTAGTGACAATTCCTTCAAAGAACCACGATTTTAAAAAAGAAATAGTGACTGACAAAATAAGATACGTAGCGTGATTTATTGTTTAAAGTCACTGAAACAACATAAGAATATGGTCCACTTTGTGTTCCATAGAAATTTTCTGCTGACACAGAATCCGCTAGTTGATCACGTGACTTCATTCGTTGGACTACATTCTAGCAGACGACACTTGGAATTCCAATTACCGCTTGGGATTATAAGGAAATTTGGCCGATAAAAAATGGTGACTTTGGTAATAAGTGAAATCCGCCATTTTGCATTTGTCAAAGTATACATTAATACATTTTACCTTGCTTGAAACTACTGGTTTCATTCTACTAGCTGACATTGTAGAGAAAACCCATGTTTATCAAAACAATCTAATGCGGAGGTCGCGCAAGGTCGCTCACGTAAATTATTAATCATTTCCGGAAATCCACGAATAATAGGTTTCCACAAAATTAGGTTACTTGACTGTAAATAGCAAAAACAGGGATGTTTCCTACTATTTTATGCAAGTGACTGCACTTAGCATACATGATCTGACAAATTTGTTATTCGTGTCCTGTTCTGGGCCATTTAGTATTCAACCCACTAATACACAGTATAAGATTTCCTTGCTGTATGTCAGGAATTGCAGGGTATCTATTGTTTTAAATGGACTAGTAGATGTAGTGTCTTACCATTTTTAAAAATACTTTGGATTGGTTAGCATAAATTATGACAACTCTGGATGGTCATTCATTCTAAACACAATCACCAAATATAGATGAAGTTTGTTAAATCAGGGTTAGTGGATTCACCTGCAAAAAAAAAAGAAACTTAACATTAACATCTGCATTTGAATCATGTCAAAATATTTTTTTTCACTTGCACCAGACTCTGAAATATAACAATTAAGGGACTACATCCTTCAGTAACAGAAAGTCCCCTCACAAAAATTCACAAGATTCTCCCTTGCTTAAACCTAGGCCTAACAGTTAAAATACCTGAGAAATAAATCAAGTAGTCTTCAGAAAAAACAGAAAGTTAACTATAAAAAAAAACTCACCATATATAAAAAAAAGATCTAGTTGTCAAAAGCGATACTAAACTTTGCATACTAATAACTTCTCTGAACTGCTGCAACTGTAAAAAGAATAATAATTTTTGATTACAACCAACATTGTGTTGTGAATTGTTTCAAAAAGTAAAATTTTACTAAGTATTAAAGGGCTGTCATACTTTTCTCATAAATCACAAGACAAAAATCTGAATTCTCACAATAGGAAGCTTGCATAGATATGACCTAATAACCATCCCCACCTCCTAATTCAAAACCCGTCTACCCTTATCCCTACCTTAATGTCACTAAACTAACAATTCTAAATTTTCAAGGTCACGCGCGTAAGAATCTAGATTGAGAAAAGTCCAAACTAACCGATAATATCAAAACCTCGAGTATTATACCCCGAGCCTATATAGGCTCTGTTATACCCCTAACTTCTTTTTTTTGTGCAATTCCACTTTAGTAAAACTGTGCGTTTGATAACGTCAACTTTACAAAGACTGTAGATATTATTAGCAGATTCGACAATAGTGACGTAAAAAAAAGTCTAGTTTTAGTGGAATCGAAAAAAATAAAACAGAGGTCTGACTGAAAATTGGAATGGTATAAATCGATGCTATCGATGTACCTATTTCTAGAAAGCCAGTTTTTATTCCTTACAAGTTTCCAATCAAAATTTGAATGAAGAAAATGACTTACCTTCTAGTGAATAAGTGTCCAATATTTGTCACTCCTTCCAAAAGTGTCATCGTTGAATCCATTATTTTATAGACAAATCACAAAATAATCTAAAACCATCCAGAATAATACAGATAGTATCAAATAAATCCCAATCCACAGATATCAGTCAAAGATTTAGCACTGAATATATCGAAATAATTCAAAACCATCCAGAATCCAATACAGAATATATCATAAGTCATAAGTCACGACTGATAAGACCGAAATCCCGCTCAGAAATGCGCAGGCTTGGATATGCAAACGATGATTTTACATTAAACTCCTCCCACTTTTTGACTGACAATTTGAATTTCAGCCAATCAGCAGCCAAAATTCTGCATCTACGTGCTCTATGTGTCAACTCTTCCCGCCAAAAAATTGTTTTGAGTTTCTGATGGTTTAAAACTGTCACCTTCTCGTCAATTTGGTGAAAGTTGATAAATTATTAAAGGAAAAGATCCACCAATATTTCAGAGTGGCTGGTTGAAAGAATTTTGAATAGAGGTACTGGACTTAAAAATCCTTTGTAAAGTCTAAAACCTGTTCAAAAATCTTTGGATCAACGAATAAAGTATATTTCATTAAGTTACCGAGGGAAAAAATTGTCAAATTCACATGTTTGTGAAGTAAATTACACGGAAGGGGACCTGTAATTCTTGATGCTAGATTCGCGCCAAATTTACCCCGAAATTTAAAGGGATATAGCGTTACTGTTACAATAAAATTCACCATTATTCAAGTTTTAGGCCTAAATCAGGCTACCCTCAAATAAGATAATTAGAAAATTTACTGAAAAGCTTTGACTTTGTGGCTACATAAAGTGGCAATAAATTCTGGGACGAAAAAGTGCAAAAGATACAAATATGATTGCAATAGAACAGATTAAACCACAGTAAATTTAAAGATAGTGGATTAAATAATAATGGCCATATTCGGTACACGCTTGGTGAAACGAGATCCTCATTGTTAGATCATTTAGGCCTGCCTACATACAAAGTCGTACGAAAATCGAAAATTGCGACAATCGTTTGAAAACTGAAAAAGCTATACCAATTTCAACATAGGCGTACGGACCCAAGGCCTATTTGGGGGTTGGAAGGGGGGAGGGGAGTTGTTTGCACGAAATTTTATTTTAAGATCGAGACAAGTGGTACAAATAAGGGACAGAATGACTCAAATATTTTATAACACATTTATAATATTTATGTTTATTAGTGTAAAGTTATGTTAGTGAACTAAATTTTGGATAATGGTACATGGAGAAAAGGGTGACGTCAAATTTTAAGTTATAATAACACTGCAAAATCAAATGATGTGATTTAATAGTGGTTACTGACAAATAACCAATCATGCCCATGGAATTGAGAGCAATATTAGAAGTTCCAGGAGGTTCTATCAGTTCCCATTATCAGGATTCCTTCCCCATTCCCCATCCCCTACACCACGGCTTTGATAATTGTGTAGCTTGTCATTCAACAAGAGGCTTCTTATTACAGGCTCAATGTTAGGCTGTTAGGTTTTCATACAGCCATAGTCAGTTGGCTTAACTAGATGCTAAGGGAAGTCTCTGTGGTAGACACTGGTTGCTACGTTAGCGAAATTGGAACAATGTGAAAAATAATAATTTGAGTATTACTGTATTATCTTTTCGAAGCAAAAAACCAACATTTTAGGCCCAGACCTCAATTGAGGGCTCTGT